TAGAGAAGAGATGGAGTGATGGGTGAGTGGGTGAGTGGGTGAGTGGGTGAGTGGGTGAGTGAGTGACACGGGCTAGAGAAGAAATGGAGTGATGGGTGAGTGGGTGAGTAAGTGACACGGGCTAGAGAAGAGATGGAGTGATGGGTGAGTGGGTGAGTGGGTGAGTGAGTGACACGGGCTAGAGAAGAAATGGAGTGATGGGTGAGTGGGTGAGTAAGTGACACGGGCTAGAGAAGAAATGGAGTGATGGGTGAGTGGGTGAGTGAGTGACACGGGCTAGAGAAGAGATGGAGTGATGGGTGAGTGGGTGAGTGAGTGACACGGGCTAGAGAAGAAATGGAGTGATGGGTGAGTGGGTGAGTAAGTGACACGGGCTAGAGAAGAGATGGAGTGATGGGTGAGTGGGTGAGTGGGTGAGTGAGTGACACGGGCTAGAGAAGAAATGGAGTGATGGGTGAGTGGGTGAGTGAGTGACACGGGCTAGAGAAGAAATGGAGTGATGGGTGAGTGGGTGAGTAAGTGACACGGGCTAGAGAAGAGATGGAGTGATGGGTGAGTGGGTGAGTGGGTGAGTGGGTGAGTGGGTGAGTGAGTGACACGGGCTAGAGAAGAGATGGAGTGATGGGTGAGTGGGTGAGTAAGTGACACGGGCTAGAGAAGAGATGGAGTGATGGGTGAGTGGGTGAGTGGGTGAGTGAGTGACACGGGCTAGAGAAGAAATGGAGTGATGGGTGAGTGGGTGAGTAAGTGACACGGGCTAGAGAAGAAATGGAGTGATGGGTGAGTGGGTGAGTGAGTGACACGGGCTAGAGAAGAGATGGAGTGATGGGTGAGTGGGTGAGTGAGTGACACGGGCTAGAGAAGAAATGGAGTGATGGGTGAGTGGGTGAGTAAGTGACACGGGCTAGAGAAGAGATGGAGTGATGGGTGAGTGGGTGAGTGGGTGAGTGAGTGACACGGGCTAGAGAAGAAATGGAGTGATGGGTGAGTGGGTGAGTAAGTGACACGGGCTAGAGAAGAAATGGAGTGATGGGTGAGTGGGTGAGTGAGTGACACGGGCTAGAGAAGAGATGGAGTGATGGGTGAGTGGGTGAGTGAGTGACACGGGATAGAGAAGAAATGGAGTGATGGGTGAGTGGGTGAGTAAGTGACACGGGCTAGAGAAGAGATGGAGTGATGGGTGAGTGGGTGAGTGGGTGAGTGAGTGACGGGCTAGAGAAGAAATGGAGTGATGGGTGAGTGGGTGAGTAAGTGACACGGGCTAGAGAAGAGATGGAGTGATGGGTGAGTGGGTGAGTGGGTGAGTGAGTGACACGGGCTAGAGAAGAAATGGAGTGATGGGTGAGTGGGTGAGTAAGTGACACGGGCTAGAGAAGAGATGGAGTGATGGGTGAGTGGGTGAGTGAGTGACACGGGCTAGAGAAGAAATGGAGTGATGGGTGAGTGGGTGAGTAAGTGACACGGGCTAGAGAAGAGATGGAGTGATGGGTGAGTGGGTGAGTGAGTGACACGGGCTAGAGAAGAAATGGAGTGATGGGTGAGTGGGTGAGTAAGTGACACGGGCTAGAGAAGAGATGGAGTGATGTGGTACGGGAGGACGTGGAGCTGAGTGGACTTGCCGATGGTACCAGCGGTGTCAAGATCGGCCTCTTGCGGAGGGAGCTCGTGAAGGACGCTGCTACTGGGCAAGTTGGAGGCAGTCGCCCTCCAGTAACAACGAAGGGCAGAGGAGCGACGCTCACATCAACGAGCGGAGCGCCGGGCGTGTAAAACGCACCTAGCTGACACGGTGGGGAGCACAGGCGGTGCATCTGCCAGTCATCTCAGTCAGTCAACCCATGCCTCCCTGGGTCAGCCCCATGAGCTCTTGCCAGCAGCGAGCCTTCGCCACTACACAATAGCCTCAAAGTGCACCTAGCCTGGCACAAGCCCCCTAATGCCGTCACCGCCACTTAGTGGTGAACGGCGGGGGGGGGGGGGCTGAACGATGTATTTATCTCAAATCGAAATCGCAATTTGAAACAATGCGATTAGCAAATCGCAAAGGCTGCTTTTTGCGATTTGAAAAGTCCTGTTACTTTCTTACTGGAATTGCTTAATTTTGTTTTATTATAACTTTTTTTATTTAACTTAACAATTGTTCTATGTTTGATTGTTCTATTTATATTAAAACATTTTAATAAATACACGTTGGAAGCAATTCATATCTTTTAAGTTCTCATCGTTGCATTGTAATATACAGAGCAGTTCATATTTTGATGGTATAATTTGGTAATGCTCTATCACATGTTTTAAATAGATTACAGAGTGAATATTGAACCGAAGCTTGACTTTAAAAACTGTAATCGCAAACCAAATCGCAATATCTGTCAGAAAAATCGCAATTCGACATTTTCCCCAAATCGTTCAGCCCTAGTGTGTGTGTCTGTGTGTGTGTCTCTCTGTCTCTGTGAGTGTCTGTGTGTGTCTGTGTGTATGTGTTGGGGGAGGCTCGTGAAGGACGATACTGGGCAGTTGGAGGCTTTCGCCTTCCAACAACAACGGAGAGCGGAGGAGCGACGCTCACAACAACGAGCGGAGCGCCGGGTGGCTAAAGCACAGCAAGTTGGTACAGTAGGAGGCACAGGTGGTGAATCAGCCAGTCATCTCGGTCATCTCAGTCAGTCGACCCGTGGCACCTGGGTCTGCCCCGTGATCTCCTGCCAGCGGGCGTTCGACACTTCACGTGGCCTCAAGGTGCACATGGCCTGGCACAAGCGTCGTGGTGACGTCACCGCCACTTAGTGGCGAATGGCGGTTGTTGTTGTTGTGTGTCTGTGTGTGTCACTGTGTCTCTGTGTGTGTGTCTGTGTGTTTGTGTGTCTTTAAGAAGGGGGACCGCACAGACGGTAACAACTACAGGGGCATCTCACTCCTCAGTGTGCCGGGAAAGGTCCTGGCAAGGATTATTCAACATCGCCTTGCTAGGCACGCTGAGGAGAGGCTTGCGGAGCCCCAATGCGGTTTCAGGAAAGGGCGGTCCTGCACAGATGCCATATTTTCTGTCCGTCTGCTACAGCAGAGGTGTAGGGAATTCCAACAAGACCTACATCTCTGCTTTATTGACCTGGTTAAGGCCTATGATACCATCAGTAGGCCTGGGCTCTGGGCTGTTCTTCGTGCTTTCGGAGTCCCTGACCCTCTGCTCACGATCATTAAGGACCTTCATGATGGTGAGCGGGCCCGGGTAAAACTACGTGGCCGGGAGTCGGAGCCTTTCCCTGTACACCTTGGGGTGCGACAGGGATGTCCGCTGGCTCCCACATTATTTAACATCTATTTTGACCACGTAGTTCATGAAGCCTTCAATAGCTGTACCGGGGGAATTTCCATTTGGTACAGATATAATGGAAGGCTGATCGACGCCCGGGTGCGATCAAGGGATGGCTCCCTATTGGTCAACCACGTTATGTATGCCGATGATTTGGTAATAGCTGCTCATTCAGAAGAGGAGTTGGAGACGCTGCTGCTGAGACTGGAGCGTGCCACTAAGAGGTGGGGCCTTACCATCAGCCCCACCAAAACTAAGCACTTGCCTGGGTATTTTGTACCATCGGACACTCCACCCCCACAACTCCCAATCGGTGATGGGGCAGTAGTGGAGAGAGTGGAGAGTTTTCCATACCTGGGCAGTGTGCTTATGACCGGTTCCAGTTTAACAGCAGAGGTCTCACTCTGAATCAGTCGAGCGGCAATATCTTTTCATCGGTTTGCGTAACGCTGTGTGGAAGCTACCTGGTTTGTCGCTCCGCACGAAGCTTCAGGTCTTCTCGGCCACAGTCATTCCCTCCCTTCTCTACGCTTGCGAAACGTGGACCCCCCTAATGGAGCATCTTCGCCGGTTGAAAACATTTAGGCTGGCCTGCCTACGATCCATCCTGGGTTTAACCAGGCTGGATTGTGTGAGGAGCTCACAAATCCTTAAAATATCTGGTCAAAGTCCCATCGGTGAGCTCCTCCGGCAGGCAAGGCTGCGTTGGCTGGGTCATGTAGCCCGCATGCCTAAACAGCTTTTGTTCGGCCGGATCGAGGGGGCTAAACGGGCGCGGCACGGGCTAGAGAAGAGATGGAGTGATGTGGTACAGGAGGACGTGGAGCTGAGTGGACTTGCCGATGACTGGTACCAGCGGTGTCAAGATCGGCCTCAGTGGAGGAGGCTCGTGAAGGACGCTACTGGGCAGTTGGAGGCAGTCGCCCTCCAGCAACAACGGAGGGCGGAGGAGCGACGCTCACAACAACGAGCGGAGCGCCGGGTGGCTAAAGCACAGCAAGTTGGTACAGTAGGGGGCACAGGTGGTGCATCAGCCAGTCATCTCGGTCATCTCGGTCAGTCGACCCGTGGCACCTGCTGGGTCTGCCCCGTGACCTGCCAGCGGGCGTTCGACATTTCACGTGGCCTCAAGGTGCACTTGGCCTGGCACAAGCGTCGTGGTGACGTCACCGCCACTTAGTGGCGAATGGCGGTTGTTGTTGTGTCTGTGTGTGTGTCTGTGTGTGTGTCTGTGTGGCTGTGTGTGTGTCTGTGTGTGTGTCTGTGTGTGTCACTGTGTGTCTGTGTGTGTGTCTGTGTGTGTCACTGTGTGTCTGTGTGTCACTGTGTGTCTGTGTGTCTGTGTCTCTGTGTGTGTCTGTGTCTGTGTGTCTGTGTCTCTGTGTCTGTGTGTGTGTCTGTGTGTGTGTCTGTGTGGCTGTGTGTGTGTCTGTGTGTGTGTCTGTGTGTGTCACTGTGTGTCTGTGTGTGTGTCTGTGTGTGTCACTGTGTGTCACTGTGTGTCACTGTGTGTCTGTGTGTCTGTGTCTCTGTGTGTGTCTGTGTCTCTGTGTGTGTGTGTGTGTCTGTGTGTGTGGGTTGGGGGGTCTCCCCCTCTCCCACGCTGTGCTCTGCTGACCCACTCCCCCACCCCCGCGTGAACTTTACAGGAATCGAATCGAGACCGCTGGAGTCGCACGCGAGCGCGGCCAAGTCGATTCGAATCGATACTCGCCCGCACCTGCCCACTCACTCGCTCGCTGCGGGTCTCTCTCTGTGGGTCTCTCTCGTTCTGTCTCTCTCTGTGGGTCTCTCTGTCTCTCTCTTTCTGTCTGCTTCTGTCTCTCTTCGTGTCTCTCCGTCTTCTCTGCTGCTCGCTACTCTTCGTGTTGTTGGTGTTGTGCGTGGCACGTGTGTGTTTATATATCGTGTTTGTGCTGCTGCTGCTGCTGGTGACTTTTTGTGTTTCGTATCGAAATCTCCTCCAGCGCGCTCTTGCTGCTGCTGGCGGCAATAAAAGTTGTTCACAAGTCAACTCTCTCTGCACCGTCGCCGTTGTCGTCTCCCCATCTCTCCCTCTCTCTCGCCATGTCCTCGTCCACCACCTCCACCTCCTCCACCACCTCCACCACCTCTGCGCTCTCCATGCTGCTGCTGTCGCTGCTGCTGACCGCGGCTCTCGGCATGTGGCTGCCCGCGCTGCTCGAGGCGCTGCTCGGGAGCCGCGCGGCGCTCGCCATCGTGGCGGCGTACGGCGTCTTCGCCCTCAGCCTCGCCAGGGCGGCCGTGCCGCGGGGGAGCCTCGCGGTGAGCAGCTCGGGGCGGGGGGGGGGTGATGGTGGTGGTGATGGTGACGGTGGTGATGGTGGTGATGATGGTGGTGATGGTGGTGATGATGATGATGGTGGTGGTGATGGTGGTTGATGATGGGTTGATGATGGTGGTGATGATGATGGTGGTGGATGATGATGGTGTGATGATGATGGTGATGGTGATGGTGGTGGTGATGATGGTGGTGGTGGTGATGGTGATGATGGTGGTGATGATGGTGGTGATGATGATGGTGGTGATGATGATGGTGGTGGTGATGATGGTGGTGGTGGTGATGGTGATGATGGTGGTGGTGGTGATGATGGTGGTGGTGGTGATGATGGTGGTGGTGGTGATGATGGTGGTGGTGGTGGTGATGGTGGTGATGATGATGATGGTGGTGGTGATGGTGGTGATGATGATGATGGTGGTGGTGGTGATGGTGGTGATGATGATGATGGTGGTGGTGATGGTGGTTATGATGATGATGGTGGTGGTGATGGTGGTGATGATGATGATGGTGGTGATGATGATGGTGGTGGTGGTGATGGTGGTGATGATGATGATGGTGGTGATGATGATGGTGATGGTGATGATGGTGGTGGTGGTGGTGATGATGGTGGTGGTGGTGATGATGGTGGTGGTGGTAGTGGTGATGGTGATGATGGTGGTGGTGGTGATGATGGTGGTGGTGATGATGGTGGTGGTGGTGATGATGGTGGTGGTGATGATGGTGGTGGTGGTTATGATGGTGGTGGTGGTGGTGATGATGGTGGTGGTGGTGGTGATGATGGTGGTGGTGATGATGGTGGTGGTGGTGATGATGATGGTGATGATGGCGATGATGGCTATAATGATGATGATGAATAATGGTGGTGGACGTGGTGGGTAGACGGGGATGATGGTGATGGCGGTGATGATGGTGATGATGATGATGGCGATGATGGATAAGGGTGGTGGATGTGGTGGGTAGACGGAGATGATGATGATGGTGGTGATGGTGGTGGTGATGATGGATAAGGATGGTGGATGTGCCCAGGGCTGGATTCATATGTTGTCGACCAAACAAAGTTATAGAAAAACTAAAATTTACTTTTACAAGGCTAACAACAAATAAAATTCAGCATTCACAAACGAAATAACTTTTCACTTCATCTCTGGAAGCCCCTCCAGGTGGTGGAGGGCCTCTGGGCTGCAGCCCCTGAAGCCCCCACGCCTTGATCCATCCCTAGTGGAATGGGGGTGATGTGAGATGGTTGATGGGGAACGTGGCAGTTGTGGTGGTTGGTGGTTGTGGTGGTTGGTGATGATGGCAGATGTTGTGGTGGACATGGTGGTGAGGGATGTGAGATGGTGGATGGGGAACGTGGTGGTTGGCGGTTGTGGTGGTTGGTGATGATGGCAGATGTTGTGGTGGACATGGTGGTGAGATGGTGGTTGGGCATGTGGTGGTGGTTGGTGATGATAGCAGACACGGCGATGGGTTGGGGATGCGAGATGGTGCCCTGGTCATAGTGGACGAGGAGGATGGAGTGGTGGGTTGAGTCGTGGTCGGGGAGAAGGGTGGATGTGGCGGTGGATGGCGGGCAAACCTAACTGCCTCCCCCTGCCTCTGTCCACCCAGCAGTGTGAATGGGCACACCGTAGGAGGTCTGGTGAGGTGGAGGTAAAGTGTGGGAGCAGTACTCCACATCTCTTCCAAGGCGTGTAGCCAGGGTGAAAGAGAAGGCCCCAAAGTAGCCTTCACTAGGAGGGGGCCCGTAGAGCTCCGTCTAGTGGCGCGGCATGAGAAAACAGCAGTAGCGCGAGCGAGCAATTGCAGGGCTGCACCTTTATCTGTACATGTGTCTCGTATGTGTACACGTGTGTGTGTGTGGTGCAAGTGGGGAGCGGTGGGGTATCGGTTAGCGCGCCGCGCTACAAACCCGGAGACCCGCGTTCGATTCCCGCTCACGGCCAACACCAGTGACGATTGTCTAAACCATTCCTGGGCCCTTCCCCTAGGTCGGCTCGGCCTCAAATGAGTTCCTGGTGCGGTGTGTAAAAACGGTGCCACTGGGGAGACAAAGGCGGTCGGGCGTGGTGCTGGCTACCCACTCGCGCCCCTCGTGCGCCGTGCCGGCCTTCATAGATGCTCGCTAACAGCACTTGTCCCAACAGTCTGTTAAGGCTACACGGGGGTGGGGGTATCTTTTGCCTTTGCCTTGTGGTGCAGGCGAGTGGCAAGGCGGTGCTGGTGACGGGCTGCGACTCGGGGCTGGGCCGGCTGCTCGTGGCTCGCCTGCACTCGCACGGCTTCTCCGTGCTTGCCGCGTGTCTGCACAAGGTGCGTGTATGTGTGCTCGCAAGGTGTGTGTGTGCTCGCAAGGTGCGTGTGTACGTGCATAGATGTGTGTGTGCGTGTGTGCGCGTGTGCTCGCAAGGTGTGTGCGTGTGTGCGCGCAAGGTGCGTGTGTGCGCGCAAGGTGCGTGTGTGCGTGCGTACATGTGTGCGTGCGTACATGTGTGTGCGCGTGTGTGCTCGCAAGGTGCGTGTGTGCGTGCGTACATGTGTGTGCGCGTGTGTGCGCACAAGGTGTGTGTGTGTGTGCTCACAAGTTATCTAATGGAGAGGGGGAGGGTTCCTCGCCGATGAACAAACCTGCCGGTTTCACCGGCATTGGTTCGTGCGAGCCCGCCTGGCTCTGCCGATGAGACGACGCTGAACGTCGAAACGGGTCCAAGGGTTTCGCTTGCGTTGCATCAATCCTGCGGAAGTTATCCACTCCCAGAAGGAAGGCCGTTTGGCCGACGTGATGCGTAACGAATATAAAGTCTCTTTTTACGCGGAGAGTCGAAGGAGACGTGTTGTCCACTGCGGTATTTTGTTTCAGAGCCTGCGGTCGTTTTGAAGATCCTCTTTTTGACCCGGCCGACTTTTTTCTGACCCCATCGCCTTTTCCTCTCTGCTCAGCTCTGGTGACCACTGCTTCCTCGCTCCTCTCAATCGGCCTCTGATCAGCCGGAAGTCGCCGCTCCTTGCTTTGCTGTTCCCGCAGTCTAAGAACTTCCTCACCCGCCTCCCGCTGCCTGAGCACACGACACGTACCCTGTCCAACTCAAGAGACGTCTCCTCGCTGATCAAATGTGACGCCGCATTTTTGGCAAATCGCAAAATAAATTCACAAACTCTTGGCGCCGAACCAAATCCGTTGTGAAATGTCGTCTGAAAGTATTTCTGAGGAGGCTGCCATCGTGCCCAGGATGTGGTCGGTGGTGGTGGTGTGATTAGCTTAGGGTGCTGGTGGGGTGCACTGGCTAGCAAACTGTACGCGTGCACGCACACGTACAGTGTGTCGGTGCGTGCATTGTGGAGTGTGTGGGTAGCGGTGGTGTAGCGGTCAGTAAGCTGCGCTACAAATCCCACGACCAGAGTTTGATTCCCGCTCACGGCCACCAACACTGGTAACGATTATTTTGAACCGGTCCTGGGCCCCTCCCCTAGGTCGACTCATTTTCAAATGAGTACCCGGTGCGGTGTGTAAACATCACCACTGGGAAGACAAAAGCGGCTGGGCGTGGTGCTGGCCACCCACCCCCTCGTGTACCATTCCGTCCTTCATAGATGCTCGCTAACAGCACTTGCCCCGACAGTCTGTTAAGGCTAAAAAGGGGAGGGATCTTTTGTCTTTGTCTTGTGGTGCAGGCGAGTGGCGAGTGGCGGTGCCGGTGACGGGCTGCGACTCGGGGCTGGGCGGCTGCCCCGTGTCTCGCCTGCACTCGCAGAGCCTACTAATGCCTACGCCTGTGCGCGTGCGTGACCGCATGTGAATTAGAGTATTTCTTGCGTGCGTGCGTGCAGGACGACGGCGGGGAGGGCGCGCGGGAGCTGGAGAGCCAGGCCTCGGAGCGGCTGCGCGTGCTGCAGATGGACGTGCGCAGCGACGAGCAGGTGGCGCGCGCCAAGGAGCTCGTGCAGCAGTACCTGCAGCAGCAGCACATCAAGGGTGCGCACGCAGCCGCCACGCACGCACACGCGGCCGCCACGCACGCGCACGTCAGGACACGCCGTGCAACGGGGCGGGCGCGTGGACACGAGTGGAACCGGGTGGACACGTGCGCGCATTTGTAGGCTTCTCGTAAAAAAAAAAACTTTTGGAGGCGATCGTAGATTTGGAAAAAAAAGTTTGGCTGGCTGGCGCGAGTGAGTGCGCGAGAGCGCGGGCCGCCGCGCGTCTGCGCGATGACGTCACGCCAACCCACCCCCCACACACCCACCCTCCACCCTGGCCTTGTGTCCCGCGCAAATGCGTTGTCGGTGCTAACAATAATGCAAATGTTTTAATCAACTTGGAACGCGCCGCCACCGCCACAGTACTCTTGAAGAGAGAGGGAACGACTCAGAGGCGTGAGGTGAGGAACCACGGATGAGCGGGAAGGCAGCAGCAGCAATGCCGTGGTGTGCCGGCGCCAACAACTGCCCAAGCTCAGCGGTCCTCTATATATGAAGGTGTTATTGGACGATTAATGAGTGTTTATACACGTGGGAGGAAACTGGAGCACCTGGAGAAAAACCGCGCGTGCGAGGGAGAAGCACTCGATCCCATACCGACGGAACAGATGGTGTCCACATTTTCGTCGTACGCCGTCTGGCAAGAGCCAGGGGTACGGCACCTCCTCGACGCCCACGGGAAGGGAGTTGCCACAACATTTGTGCGGGTGATCCAGCAACCCTCGCCGCTGCCTCTACAGTGCCGGATTGCAGGCAGCCACGTGCATAGCCACCACCGCCGCACCGGCTATTCGTACCTCGAGCCGTCTCGAGTCATTTCTCGAACCTGTCTATGACAGCGCAAGCAAACCACCGACTCTCTCGCTGCCGCTGCTGTTGTTGCCTCCGCGGCTCGACGCTTTACGCGGGCTGCCCCGTCCGATTGGGGGAGCTCGGTGGGCGCGGGTGTTGTGGGGGCCGGCCGTAAGCGCGGCCTTGCCACGAGTAGAGGGGGAGCCACGCTCTTGAACGAGTTCATAGCCTTGGACCGGTAAGGGGAGGACGTGGGATAAGTTGGGTGCACCCAACGGACTGGCGCAGGCGGTTCAAAGTCTCTCCTCGGTCGGCCGAGAGGAGATAAAGGTTTGCGTGCAGCGTGTGATTTAGTTACCGGGCTAATTCAGGGGTGGGATTCCCCCCCACCACCGCTATATCCACTTTATTTGTATCAACATCCCGTTATTTCAATTAAGATAACAATTAGTCCCGTTTACGGCTTATGTTATTTACGGTGCTTTTGAAGCACATTAGAATGAAGTAGAAATGGACGTGTAAACAAAAATGGTTAATAACGGCTCCATTGAAACCATAAAAAAACAAGCCAATTCTAGGTCGACTCAGTCTTAAACTGAGCACCTGGCGCTGTGTAAAGACAATGGCATTGGTGCTGGCCACGCCAACCACCCAGCACGCCGCTGTCGGACTTAACCCGTTCCCGTTCCGATGACGTACGTACGTGTACGTCATCACGTACCCGTACGTGCGTCTTTTTCTTCTGATTCCGTTACGATGACGTACGTACGTGTACGTCATCGGAACAGAATCGATTCAGAATGGAATTGGGAGTAAAAGGCCGTGTAGGAGTGCGAGTGGCAGAGTTTGGCGCCAGCTCTCGTGGACTGCGGTCGTGTCACTACAGTTCTCTACGGTGAGTAGAATGCCTTTAAAAACATCTGCGCTACGCCTCTCTGAATAAAATTAACACCGAACCGCTCGCGCGTTCCAGGATTCAGCGGTGAACGGCACACCCACCACCCTCCAACTTGCAGGCGTCTCGGAACGGAAAAGGGTTAATAGGTGCTCGCTCGCAGCACTTCCCCCAATGATAGATGTTCAATTCAGCGTGCTTTTGGGACTTCCGCATCGTTTGCATTGTGCACAAATCGAACAAGGTTTGCCCGCTAACGGGAAGCGACGTCGCCCTGTCTCCGCGTACTGCCGCCGCAGGCCTGTGGGGAGTGGTGAACAACGCGGGCGTGACGGCGCTTGGCGACGCCGAGCAGGTGCCCGTGGGCCTCTACCGCGACGTCGCGGACGTCAACGTGTGGGGCACCGTGCGCGTCACGCAGGCGTTCCTGCCGCTCGTGCGCGAGGCCCAGGGTGAGCGAGCGGCGACAGACGAAGCAGATCCAACACCCCCCCCCCCCCCCGAGTGCTGCTAGCATGTAGCAACTAGCGACGGACAGAACGGCACACGGTTTTGTACACCGGGCCGGGTACTCATTTGAGGCTGAGTCGACCTAGGGGAGGGCCCAGGACCAGGTCAGATATTCGTCACTGGTGTTGGCCGTGAGCGGGAATTGAAACTTGGGTGGCCTGGTGTGTAGGGCAGAGCGCTACACACACACAGCACGCGTGCACACGTGTTGGCACGTACGTGCGCGCCAACACGTACACGCACGGCTCTCTCTGTCATTCCACTGCTGGACGAGGGTCTCCCCTGCACCGTACCAGGTCGTGGGGGCCTATTGACAGTGCAGCCACGGTCGGAATACAACGCCCGCAGGGTTTGTGTAAAATAAATAACATAGACATCGTCAAGAATCTGAATGGAGACTGTCTTGTGCAGACCATTTTGTTATCTGAGCTGGACTTTGGAACTGCGCTGCCTGAAACTCGGGAGTGACCAACGATTCCGTTGGCCCATTTCCATTGTCACAGAGTAACTCTGGCCACCCAAGTTGGATTCTTGGTGTGCATGTGTCTGTGTCGTGCGGAGCGGTAGTGTAGCGGTTAGCGCTACGCTGCGCTACAAAACCTGGCAACTTGGGTTCGATTCCCGCTCACAGCCAACACCGGTGACGATTATCAGAACCGGTCCTGGGCCTCCCCTAGGTCGACTCAGCCTCAAATGAGTACCTGGTGCGATGTGTAAACATCGCCACTGGGGAGACAAAGGCGGCCGGGCGTGGTACTGGCCACCCGCCCCCTCGTGTGCCGTGCTGACCTTCATAGGTGCTCGCTAACAGCATTTGCCCCAACAGTCTGTTCAGGCTACACGGGGGATCTTTGTCTCTTTGTGCATCCTTGTGCGTCCTTGTGCATGTGCCTATGACCACCTCCGTTGTGACAGCAGAGGTTTCACTCCAAATCAGTCGAGTGGGTTAGCCGGTTATAAACATTTAGGCTGGCCTGCCTACAATCCATCCTGGGTTTAACCAGGCTGGATTGTGTGAGGAGCTCACAAATCCTCGAAAGATCTGGGCAAAGTCCCATCGGTGAGCTCTTCCGGCAGGCAAAGCTGCATTGGCTGGGTCATGTAGCCAGCATGCTCAGCCACTGCATTCCAAATCAGCTGTTGTTCGGCCGGACAAAGGGGGCTAAACGGGCGCGGCACGGGCTAGAGAAGAGATGGAGTGATGTGGTACAAGAAGACGTGGAGCTGAGTGGACTTGCTGTTGACTGGTACCAGCGGTGTCAAGATCAGCCTCTGTGGAGGAGGCTCGTGAAGGACGCTGCTGCGCAGTTGGAGGCAGTCGCCCTCCAGTAACAATGGAAGGCAAAGGAGAGCCGCTCACAACAACGAGCATAACACCGGGTGGCTAAAATACAGCAAGTTGGTACAGTCGGGGGCACAGGTGGTGCATCAGCCAGTCATCTCAGTCAGCCAACCCATGGCACCTGGGCCTGTCCCGTGACCTGTCAGTGGGCGTTGGACACTTCACGTGGCCTTAAAGTGCACCTGGCCTGGCACAAATGCCGTGGTGGCGTCACCATCACATAGTGGTGAATGGCGGTTATTGTTGTTGTGTGCGTGTGTGTGTGATCCTGCGTGTGACGTTGCAGGCCGCGTGGTGAACGTGACCAGCATGCTGGCGCGCATGCCCGTGGCCTCCTGGGCGTCCGAGTGCGTCTCAAAGGCAGCGGTCGCCGCCTTCAGCGACTGCCTCCGCATTAAGCTGCGCTCGGTGAGCTGAGGCTGGGCGCCTTACGTGAGCGTGACCGTGCGCGTGAGAACGAGTGTGCGTGTGAGAGCGTGCGAGTGCACGTGTGAGCGCGCGTGAGGGCGAGCGCGCGTGAGGGCGAGCGTGCATGTGAGTGTACGCGCGGTGGCGCGGCGTGCCGCGTCCTGAAGAGTGGCCATGGGTGACATGAACACCGCAACTCCGAATAGCACGGTTGGCGACATATGGCGCAAAAGAAGTTCAGCATACACACGTACAGCATCACAGAGACACCCATAGACTCAGAGAGACCCATCGACTCACAGAGAAACCCATAGACTCACACAGAGACCCATAGACTCACACAGAGACCCATAGACTCACACAGAGACCCATAGACTCACACAGAGACCCATAGACTCGCACAGAAACCCATAGACTCGCACGGAGACCCATCGTTGGTTGTCCTCCCGCATCTCCGATTAAGCACGGTTGGCTACGTACGGCGCGAAAGAAGTTCCACGTACATACATACGCGCATACACGATTGGCGTGCTCCCTGTAAACCGTGAGAAACTTGTCGGGACCAGAAAATCGAATTCTGGACTGGAAACAAATGGGAGTAGTGATGAGAATACGTAATACGCGAGAGGTTGAGACCACGACATCGCTGCTCCCCATCATGCCTCGCATGTCACGCGACCTTTCCACATCTATTTTATTCTTGCGAATGGCAATACGCATCGCCACTTACGTTCAGGAGCTAAATGACGATGTCGAGGTCTACCCCTCTTCCCAGTAACTTAAAATCGTCAAAAGTGTGCGGTTTTGATTTCAGACAGCAGCACGAGAAATGGTGCAACTGTGCCAATTAATCCAGTTTCACCCCATGGTATGCGACCCGGTGCGTACCGCAAGCGTGTGTGTGTGTGTGTGTGCGTGTATGTGCGTGTGTGTGCGTGCGTGTGTGTGTGTGCGCATGTGTGCATAGGGTACAATGCGTTTGTGTGCTTCGAGGGGAGCGGTAGCGCAGTGGTTAGCGCACCGCACTAAGAACCCAGCGACCCGTGTTTGATTTCCGCTCACAGACAACGTGAGTGGTGAATATCTAATCCGGGTCCTGGGCCTCCCCTAGGTCGACTTGGCCTCAATGAGTACCTGACAAAGCATGGACAGTGTTCGCTCGTTATACGCGAGGGATACGTTCCGGATATGCTCGTGAATGGCAAATTTTGCGGATAATGATATTGGCCTATGGAATGTTTAAGAAATTACCTTAAAGAAATACATATAGAAGCTATTAAATACGTGAAAATTACTGTAATGATCTCATCACTCCCATCACTTTATCTCATCACTTTATCTCCCATCGCTTTATCTCGTCACTTTATTTTTCTCTCTCTCGATGCAGTTGTGTAGAGTTCTAAATTCGATTCGCAGATAGCCTAAAAAGACTATATTTGGAGTATTTGGCTGCTATAAATTTCCACGTGATAAGCCACTTCGCCGAGCCATCATTTTCCATATCCAGGTCGCTTCTGAAAGAGAGCCCGATAACTCAGTGGGCCTTACCTGGTAAAATAACAACAGAAGTTTAGTTCGGTTCACCCGCCCCAAAAACAGTTTGCAAGGCCACACGGGGACGGGTGCCTTTGTCTGTGTGTGCGCCAGGCGGGCGTGACGGTCTGCGAGGTGGAGCCCGGCAACCTGACCGGAGCCACGGAGCTGCTGAGCCCGGCCCGCCTGGACTCCACGCTGTCCGCGATGGCCGACGCGTTGAGGCCCGGCCAGCGTGACCGCCTGGCGCTCGTGGCGCGCTCGCTCCGGGCCGCCGGCGCCATGGGTGTGGAGCCGGCGCTGTGGGCCGTGAAGGACGCGCTGGTGTCCCGCTGGCCCTATTCGCACTACCACCCGGCCGAACTGCACTGGAAGATCCGCGCCTTCTTGGTGTCGCTGCTGCCCTGCGTGCTCACCGATCGCGTCTTCGGGCTGCACGTCTGATCGCGCGCCCCGCGTCGTCGTTCAGGGGTTTCGGTGGCGGGCAGCGGCGCTTCTCGCGACCCCTTTCCGCTACGACGATCGGTCTACCGAGCTTGCGCCCCCGGCGGCGTAATCAAAATTGTGTCGCGTGAAATGAGACGAATCCCATTCGGATATTTAATCGAAGCAGTTGTGTACCCCTTGGTGTTTAGAGGACAGTCCGTGGAAGCGGATATCACAGAGACTATTGGCAAGATCCCTTCAAGTGATCCCTGGTCAGCGCAGCGGGGAACGGCACTTATCCGACCACTCTGCATATCAGAGTAGTGTTCGTCGCATGGCGGTTAAACAGAAGTTTTTACTCGTTGACAAGCAAACATTTTGGAATAGCAAAAGGCAAAAACTTCTCATATTTTTTCGGACCAAATTCACTGCTCCTCCGTTTTTTTCAACGGTTTTATTTAACTTCACTCGCGTTTGTCGTGTTAAAATCCTGTAATCAAAAGTTAATCTGCTTCCTGTTGTGCAATCAATTCCACATTTTGCACACATACTCAGATCCGGTGACAATGCATGCATGTATGAAAATGGGCATCAATTCATCAATCAATTGCCTCCTTTAAAGCAATTTAAATTTTTGTATGGACGGCTTATTACTTATATATATATTTGTGTAGGTCTAAAACGCCGCGGTCCCTAAACTGTGGCATCGGCTCGCACAAGAAGCAGGCGCCATTGACGCACTTCGCGACCGCGAGTTAAACGAAGTTGTTGATAAAACCGTTGTTTAAAAAAAAATGCAAGGAGTTTATTACTGATCAGTGCTGGAATTCAGCCAGATTTAGCGCAGAACCACATGTCACGTGATGGGCATTTTTGAGCGATACATTTTATTTTCGCGTGACATCAACATGCAACGTGATATCACACACGCAACGTGACATCTACACACAAAGTGACATCACACACGCAAGGTGACATCACACACGTGACATCACACACATGACATCACACACGCAAGGTGACATCACACACGCAAGGTGGCATCACACACGTGACATCACACACGCAACGTGACATCACACACGCAACGTGACATCATACGTGACATCACACTTGACATCACACACGCAAGGTGACATCACACACGTGACATCACACACGCAAGGTGACATCACACACGTGACATCACACACATGACATCACACACGCAAGGTGACATCACACACGTGACATCACACACATGACATCACACACGCAAGGTGACATCACACACGTGACATCACACACGCGACATGACATCTACACGCAACGTGACATCTACACGCAACGTGACATCAACACGCAATGTGACATCTACACGCAACGGTGCAGTCGTTGGACCAAGCTCTTCATTCCCCACCGAATGTTTCCGTAGCAGCGCTCATGCTCGTGCCGGCGAGTATTCATTGGGTTCGTGTGGTTTTTCACTCTTTAATTGCCTTAATTCTGCTTAATTCACTACCTCCCCTGGTATGCAGGAGGTTGTGGGTTCAATCCCAACCCTGACACCTGCTGTATATTTGGAGTTTGTGTGTTTTCCCCGTAATTGCGTGGATTTTTCTACGGTTTTTCCCTCCACATTTAAAATAAAAATGCGTTTAGAGTATTTGGCTGCGATAAATTTCCACGAGAAAAGCCAGTCTGGCTATCATTTGTGATAGCCAGACCGCTTCTGAAAAAGAGCCATGTAGCTCTCTGCAACCCACGTTTTAACCGCTTAACGCTTTGGAAGTTTCACTTTTATTCCACTTTCTCGCTCCGGTAGCGTTTTGCGAACAGCTTATCAGTAACATCACGAACGAGCCTTCGTATACTGCTCGCTGCAGTCGTGGCTGTGATGGCCGTGGGAGTTGTTTCAAAAACATTCAAGGTAGTAGTGCTGGTCACTTGTATATTTCTAGTTAACGGTCAGGTCATTAGTGATGTCCTCTACGTCCTGGGCAGTGTCTGATAGTCAAGAAGTCAACGGCAGGCGAGTGCCGAGCGATGTTTGTGTCCATTGTGAATGGGCAGACAATAACACATTCCTGCGGAGGGAGCTGGTAGGAACGTTGGGTTGCTCGGTCAATGGCCAGGGTCAACGGCGGCGTGGTGTATTCCGCAAATATGCCCCCCCCACCCAGTCCCACCCTCCCCACCCAGCCCCTCCCCACCCTCCCCACCCTCCCCAGCCAGCCCCTCCCCTCCCCACCCAGCCCCTTCCTGCACGACGGACACAATAATCCCCTGTGGGCTGGTGTAACCAGGAGGTTCCTACCCCCTTCTTATGTCTGTTCCTCAGTGATGAAGATAACGAGTGGGATTTTTTTTCTTCTACACATCCGGTTAACCACGCGGCATTCTGGGAGTGCGTAATGTCATCGGCATTGGTTTGGTACAAGTCAACCTTGACCTTAATCGGCACGCAGTGCCCCATCAGCAGAGTCGGGCTCTAGATTTGAAGCTTTCGTGACTGCAAGAGTAAGAGTCGGGCTCCTTTGGTGGCCAGTGGTCGATATTTTAGAACCGAGTAATCGAAGACCGATTTGTAACATCGTGCGGATAGCAATAACAACCCAATTCTAACCTTAAATAACGACGGCTGCAGAGGTTGCTTTGCATTAAACCAATGGCACTGAAAAAAAACAACTGCCGGGAGACCGTGCGTGCGGCTGATGGGATGTGTGAAAAAAAACCCACTTAAATGGCGCTGACGTCACCACGGCGCTTGTGCCAGGCTAGGTGCACTCCGAGGCCACGTGGACGGACAGATCTGGGATGGAGGCGTGCATTGGCTCCTTATTTTAAAAAGAGAGTTTGCAGATTCCGACATTTACAAAGAGGATGCAGGGTGTTATTATCCACGATGTAGAATGTGATTTTAAGTGTAGGATTATGTTGCGTAGATGATTTGGTAATTCGCGCGGCATGTAAATGCGGTTTATTTCATTTTGAATATCACTGCCACAAAATAAGATTGCATCGTCCACACATAACTGTGATGTATCTGCAAAGCTAATTCGATATTTGTGCACCGCTAACAGTACAAGAATATAACCCAAGGTTGACACGTTTCAAATCAGAAGAGAATTGAAATGACCAAGAATTGAGAAGTGTAATGTGTGACGGTGCAGTCTTTAAGTGGTCAATAGTAACTTTTTTAAAGCTTTGTGGAATGATGAAAATTGACGACGAAAGTAACATTAAAGTTTGTTTAGCGTCATAATCGTGTTCATCGTGATGCTTTGAAGCAGTTTACATCCTATCATTGATGTACATATTTATACCGCTGGTTGGACAGAGGCCCAGTGTCATTTAAGAAACGTGTCCCATCGTTTCAACTGGGTCATCGTCAAGTCCAGCCAGAGGCCTCTGGATTGCAACTCCACTGCGACAACTTGCTAGACCACGACAGCAGCCCTGTTGGGATTTAACAACGGTAAGTTTTTTCAAAAACATTTTATCAATCCATTGATAGGTGCCTAAGATGACCGGCGTTCATCAGCCGGCTCAACACCACGTGGCGTTTACGATGGCCATTGAGAGAACAATGAAGAATCAGAATTATATATTTTGTATTTAGACCACAGGAGGAAACCGATGAGCTGTGAAGCTCTTCCTGTCCCACACGTCCACGCACGCGGTGCCACGCGCGGTCCGGTTCCACACGAGCGGCTCACGACCACCTCCACCACCACCACCCCAAGCAACGCGCCCGGTGGCTCGGCGTTCGGAACGTTGCGAGGGTCGAATCGTCCTCGGTGGCGGTGGACCGAGCCCATCCCTCCGGGGTCGAAGATGGTTGTCCCGAGCGTGTGTGGAATTGCCACCGCTGGCTGAACAGGAGGGAAGCGCTGCCGAAATTCTCATAAATGAAAAAACCCTCTTCTTGGCTCTTTCGGTAAATTCACGTAAAGGGAAATAATAAAATAATAAAAATAAAACAATAAAATGCAATTCTCACGACGTTTCGGCCACATTCCACAAGTAGTAACTAATCCCATATCTGCATTTGCCATAAATATGCTAAATTCCTCTGTTATGTAAATTCCTTTGTCAAGGCGCTCTCCTCTAACCCAGCTTAAATATACAAATATACGCTGCCAAGCTTGGTGGTGTTCATTCGGACGCTGTCTTTCCGACAGCCCTGTTCTTCACCTGAGGACGGATGCTTGCGTTGTGGCCGAAACTTCGTGAGAATTGCATTTTATTATGTTTTTATTTTATTATTTCCCTTCTACGTGACTTTACCGAAAGAACCAAGAAGATGAATCCCTGCAGTCACGAAAGCTTTACATCGAAATTGAACAAACCCTCTTTTACTCTTGGTTCTTTCGGTGAAGTCACGTAGGTAAAGAAAATAAAAAATAAAATAAGACCTCCCAAAGCCCATTTGAGTAAGAAACCACTTTGGGGGCGTCCATAAATGACGTCACGCACCTAGGGGGGGGGGGTCAGACATTTGTGACTGACGAGGGGGGGGGGGGTGAAAATGTGACGTCACATCAAAATGCGCAACTTTAAATAAATATAGAATTGTTATATTTTCAAAATGGAAATATGGTTTTGGGGGGGGGGCAGCTTTGTGACGTCATATTTGAGGGGTTATTATTTTTTCCTACGTGACTTTGCCGAAAGAACCAAAGAGTATGTATCCTTGCAGTCACAAAAACTTCAAATCCAGAAAGAACCCTTTTTAAATTCTTTATATTAAGTTCACTTGCTTGCTTGCTTGCGCGCTTACGACCGTGCAAATCTTTCGGTCGTTTTTTAACCCACTTCCCGTGATCCAATCGAGCTGACATTTTGCACACAGACTCGTTGTGCGTGATAATTTATTTTCGTGAATAAAAATTTCCAAAATTTTACACTTTTTAGGAAAAAATTAATTATATTTAATTACCAATTGCTTAATGGTGGCAGGCAATCATCTGACCCATAGGTGGCAGCCATCTCAAGCCAGAGGACGAGGACTCTTGCCGCCACGCATATAAAGGATTTATAGTGAAAAACTTTGTTTTTACGGGTTAATTTTTATTAGAGCCAGTCGCTTGAATCGAGGATATCCATGCCAATAAGATAACCTGTTTGATGTCCAGTCTGCGTTACTCTCTGAAAGCTAAGGACAGGAGATGAATGTGATCAATGAATGAACCGTTGGATGAGGCTGGAGGATGCACGTACTTCTTTCACACCGTACGTAGCCAACCGTGCTCATCGGAGGCGACGGAATCGTGGTTCTACCGTCGGTGATGAATGAGCGTTCCTTGGACGGCAGAGACGAGATCTCGGTGCCCTCCGTGAGCTTCAGGGGGAGAGGGGAGGGAGGTGCTTTGAGAAAGAGCGCTCTTTGGACGTGCGGCTTTTTGCAAGCGCCGATAACGATCGCAGGTGCGGCCGAAAGTGGAACGGAGGTGGTGGGGGGGGGGGTGGAGGTCGTTAGAGAAAAGTGTTGAGATAGCGGACGCCCTGCTGGGACGGACGTCCAGCCAAAGGGCAATATAAATTTTTGGGAAAATTAAAGGGACCGACTCCATGCGGGTCATTTTGGCTTGGCTCCGACACGGCTTGGGACCCACAGAGACGCGAGCCGCTCTGTTGTTTGAAAAGTCGCTTGCGCGGCTCGGCCAAGGCTGGGATCGGTTGCTCAGAGCCGGCTCAAGCCGAGCACGACTTTTGAGCCAAGTCTGAGCCGAGCCGCAACTAAGAATGCGGGGGCCTTGGTGTTGAGCATGAGTTATGTCACGCCAGATCTAACGGCCGGTGTGCTGAAGCCGTAACAGATTTGCACGTTTTCGTGACAAACCCTACTGATTGGCCGTGTCGGGTGGTTGCGGCGTCTAACGACGCGTTTATATTTACGCGATCTAACCCCCCAAAACAACGTTATCATGGATAATATTGCTCGCGAAAGCCGACGTGTTAAACTGGTTTTATTGGCAACATTATAGGCAGGCTAAGCAATGTCGCGTCTGCTTTAAGCAAGATTAGAGGACTCAAATATTGTCCTTGTTACGTGTGAATGTTCACAGGTATTGTAACAGAAGTGACAATTCAACAAGAGTATCGCTGTACTGGCGGTTAAATTTCGATTTAAAACTTTCGTGACTGCAGGAATTCATCATCTTGGTTCTTTTGGTAAAGTCACGTAGAAGGGAAATAATAAAATAATAAAAAGAATTCGAATAATTTAATTGGTTTATTTTTATTATTTTATTATTTCCCTTCTACGTGACTTTACCGAAAGAACCAAGATGAAGATATCGCTGTACTATTATTAATCGACACGATACTACAGGTCCTCCTTGGCTAAGCGAGAGAAAAGACGACAGCTGGATATTGGAATTATTTCAACGAGACGTGATCGACGCAAGGGGCCGTCCATAAATGACGTCACGCGATTTTGGACGATTTTTGACCTCCCCCCCTCGTGACAAAAAGTCAGACCCTCCCTCAATATGACGTCACAAAGCTCTGCCCCCCCTCCCAAAAAAATAAAACATGGTTCAAATCGCTTTAAACTATTGTCATTGCAGTGCGTATTTAATGTGGCGCTGCACTCTGATGTTGTAGGAGAAAACATTTATTAAAAAGTCTATTTAATTAAGTAGAACGTGTTGTTTATATTTATTTAAAGTTGCGCATTTTGATGTGACGTCACATTTCTCAAACCCCCTCCCCCCTCGTCACACATCGTCACAAATGTCTGACCCCACCCGCCTAGGTGCGTGACGTCATTTATGGACGGCCCCTTATAAAGTGATTTGTTTACATTTCCTATCCGTTGCACTGCCATCGAGTTGTTGTCTAGTTTGCTGTAACGTTCTGACCCCGTGTCCCCGATTGGACATCTGTGGGGAAAAAAAGCTTTATAGCTCATCGGATTCCTCCTGCAGTATATAAACATTAATACTGGTAGGAACCTCTGGTTACACCAGCCCACAGGGGATTGTTTTGTCCGTCGTGCATTCCAAATATGGGAGGGGTGGGTGTGGCTGGGTGGGTGGGAAGGGTGGGAAGGGTGGGGAGGGGCTGGGCTGGGTGGGGAGGGTGGGGGTGGGAGGGAGGGGTGGGGCTGGGTGGGGAGGGGCTGGTCACCCCGTGGTGCCCTTATAAAACTCAACGTTTAACCTACTCACGCCGGCTTGTGCCCGCCCTCACAGTCGGCCACATTTGCGGAATACACCACGCCGCCGTTGACCCTGGCCATTGACCGAGCAACCCAACGTTCCTACCAGCTCCCTCCGCAGGACAATGTGTTCCTGATGCGGTTTCTGCAACGTCAGCTGGGTTTGGCCTCGAGCAGATTAAAAGTGAAGCGGCGGCATTGTCTCGCACGCGATAATAATAATAAACACGTTGCCCTGCCTGCACGGATGAAGGTCACGGGGTTGACCGAAGGTCGCCGCTGAGCATCAGTGCACTGCGAGAGGGCGCCCGGGGTCACGGGGGTGAAGGCCACGAACAAGACGCATTCTTTACTCAGTTGATTACGTTGTGACCGCGAGTGAACCTCGCGCGCGCTGAAGCGCAGTAAACCCTGGTGGACTAAGGGGTCGTCCATAAATGACGTCACGCACCTAGTGGGGGGGGGGGGGGGGGTCACACATTTGTGACGATGTGACGAGGGAGGGGGGTTTGAGAAATGTGACGTCACATCAAAATGCGCAACTTTACATAAATATAGACAACACTTTCTACTTGATTAAATACTTTTGAAAAAATGTTTTCTCCTACAACATCAGAGTGCAGCGCCACATTAAATACGCAATACAATGACAATTGTTTAAAGCGGTTTGAAATATGTTTTATTTTTTTTGGGGGGGGGGGGGCAGAGCTTTGTGACGTCATATTTGAGGGGGGTCAGACTTTGTGACGCCGTGTGACGAAGGAGGGGGGGGGGGTCAAAAATCGTCCAAAATCGCGTGACGTCATTTATGGACGGCCCCTAAACATATCAATGAATATTTAGTCCACAAAGCCGCGTGGCTTTTCCAGACCAACATCGTCAAGCGGGCAACTTGAAGTTTGCGGATTTCCGAAGCCAATACAATGACCCATAATCCCATATGCTTGTTCTTGGCTTCGACCACGTGGTCGTCTTATGGCAACGACAATCAACGTCGGGCAACGTAACTGCGTGTGGCCTAACCCCACAAACCCAATATGGGTCGTCATCTCTGTCGTCAT